GAAAGGTTCTGTTCTAGTTGCAAATAATTAAATATTTCAGCTGAGTGTTAGCTTATATTTTATGTTTTAATAAAAGCAGGGTCTGGTATTTCAACTGCAAACTGGAAAATGATGGATAGTTCTAGTCACCTCTTCAGATTGGTAATTATGCAGTGTGATGATGATAGATTGTCCAGAGGCCAGAGTTGGTCAGATTTTATGTCCTATCACATTAGTTGTGGTTAGAAAGTGTAATCCTGGCACCAGCCATCATACACTGTCCAGTGGTCATTTGTTCTGTGACCAAATGCCATTTGTTTATGACAATGGGGAGCAAGAAAAAGGAATTTGCCAACAATTTGTCATGTACAGTAAAGGTCATTTTGGATCATTTAGTACTATGTTTCAGGTCTGTCCATGTCCATACAAAATATATCCATGCTTTCATACAGATTGCATGTACTAGAAAGTTCTGTTTTATGAAATGGCAATGGTTTTTCTGTTTTTAGAATTACAAAAAAACCCATAAAACCTTGTAAATCATTTCCACCAACATGTTTGTTGGGTTGGGTTGGGGAATACATTTACTTAGGTATGCTAGTGGTTAGTATAACATAAAAATGCAATCAAACCTTGAAACTTTATTAGTTACTAGGGCAGTCAGAGGGTGATTCAAAATGTACAACCTGTCATGTTGCACATAAGTTCCAAGAAACTTTGTTCACTCAGTCTATACACTGACCCAGTAGTCAATATCATTACCAACATCATCTAAAGCTTCAGGGTTTGAGCAATTTTGTTAGCAGCCAGATTTCAGTTAATAGATGAGATACAGAATTGCTAGAAGGTAGTTGCATTAATCTGGAGAAAGTTTGTGCAGGTGTCTGTATAATGGCTTCCAATTAGGACATTTCTAATAAAATATTAAATCTTGTGGGTGAAAATATAAATTTTTTAATGAGGGCCAATTGTTATTCATTTCCTATTAGATACATTTATTTATTAACAATGACTCTCATTTAAATTGAAGGATATTGGTTCATCACCTTATACTGTTCTAAACAGACACAGAAATGCAGATAGTGACTTTTCTGTGGTTGTAAACCAGTGATGACAGATTAAAAGTGAAAAATTCTTTAGTTTAATATCCATTTAATCCCCATCTGTTTTTAATGGTGGATTAGCAAGCAATAGACTTTCTTAGTTTAGGAAAAATTTTCACCTGTATCATTGTGCTTAATTCTGTGGCATGTTGCAGAAGTTGCATCAACTGTTGTGCAGGTCACACAAAAATACAGGTGAAGTAGTTGGTCAGCAGACTAGGCTCTTGACCAAAAAGATGCAGGTTTAACTCTCATCACTGGACAAGTCCAGGTCTGCTACTATGGTGTTGGTGGGCAAGGCACTTTAATTGCTTTACTGCAGAAAAACTCCTTTTAACTAAACCAAGCCAAGGAACTAAATCATTGAGATGATTGTAGCACACAAGCTAAATTGCAAACATGAATTGGCTGTGATAGAATTAAGTGACTGCACCATGTATCTGTAGTCTTGTCACTAGGCAATTATCTGAATTGCATACTGTGATACATGGTGTAGGAAGGTCATTTAAGTGACATGAAGGACAAGGTGTCTGATTGAGGTGACATGAAAGGTAGGAAGTTGTTAAACTGAACTAACCAGAAAAGTAAGGTGACCTATTTAAGTGACATGAAGTGTAGGTAAGTTTCTGATTTAAGTGAAAGTTAAGAAATTAAGGTGAGAGTCTGATTCAAGTGATATTATGTGTGTGAAAGTATGTATGGAAGGGTCTGTGATTATGCAAGAGGGGGTGCCATTAAAGCATTTCATTTAAGGGATATAGTGTGTATGAAAGTCTGACTAAAAATACTGCAAGTTTTAAACATTCAAACATACTTTGCAATGTTATAAGTAAATAGTTCTAAACATTATAATGAATGGTTAGATCCTACAAGCTACATGCAAAGGTGCACTCTTAGATGCCAGCAACTTTTACAGCAGATTGGAACAAAAACAGTAGCCAATCTGCACGAATTGAATTTTTGGGGATGGGAAGTAATTTAATCAAAGTATACATTTTATGATAAAAAGTGAAAAAATTGTTTCTGATGACCCTCATGACTCTAGGAGATGAAAAGGTAAATAACAAGTATATTACTTGCATTCAGTAGACACTTGAATATCAAATATTGTCCATGTAATTATGATGCTGTATGCCTATTTCTAATGTCCACTTTGTTACCCAAAGATATTTGAAGCTAAAAAGGAAATGCATTCAAGGGAAAGAACTACTGTATTTAAAAGGAATACAATGCTGTTAAATCAAATGTTTTAAAAATAGCTAGGTTAATTTTCTTGGAATGTGTTGTTTTGTGTTAGTCATTATATTAAAAATAGTATTAAAAATAGTATTAAATTCTATCATAAATGTCTTCTAATACTTTGTATTCAGGCTTACAGAAATGTAAAGTTATATGATCTTCCATTACACAATCTGATTACTCAGAACACAATTAGTAGACCTTCTCATTATGGATACATGCCAACCATTACACTTTGGCATAATCATTAAACTTTTTTTCACCTAAATTTATTAAATATTAGCATAGTAGACCAGTCTATATTTTAAAAAAATTGTCCTAGTTAAGTGAAATGGGCATAATTGCTGTGATGTTACTTCAAAATATTTGACATTTCTATTTAAACTTTTTAAACTTCAAAACCTGTCAGATCAGAAAATGAGAAATTTAAATAAATACAAGTGTTGTAATGCAGGATTTAGATTGAGTCAATTGTCATTCAGCAAAAATTAAATATTTAGTCTAGTTAAAATAAGTTTTGTATATAAATAATTTTGTATATAAATTTTGTATATGAACAATTTGCCAATAAGTTTGTATTCAGGTACTAATACCCATTTCTGATGAGAATTTTAACACCTGTAGAGCCAGGTTAATAGCAAAACAATGTAATATCAGTTTTTCATAATTTCCTGTAATTATGGCATGTAATGTATAGATTAGTTGGTGTGTTCCTATTATGCATTTTTTTGTCACTTGTATTAGCAATAATTACACTTGTACATTTTGTGGGAATGGCATGTATAATTATGCAATGTTGAGAAAGCCTGTGAAGTTTGTTGCAATATTTGGTACATGCTTCAAAACTACTGCAATATCCTGCTTATTTTGCATGCAATGGTAACTTATTCTGTACAGATTCACAATCTTTCTAAAATTAAGCATAATCTTCTTTCTACTTTTGAAAAATAATTATTTTCAACATCAATAATTTGTTTTAATATGGTAATGTCAGCATAAGTTTAATAGATATCACTGTTAGTATATTTTAGACTAATGGGACCCCAGTGATTGAATGGCCATTCATTTTGACAGTCACTTGCATCAGACCTCTATCTGTGCAGATTTGAGTTGTATGGGAGAAAGCTTGCCACTAGCTTCCAGTGGGTTGACTCTTCTTCCCCATGTCTTAAAAATTCTTTCTCCACCAACTATACTAGCTAGCAATGTATTGGCCATCATGTGTGGAGAAAATGTCATTATGCATAACACCATTTATCACAATAAATTGTATCCACCAGGTTTTTTTCTTCAAAAGGTGAAGGTGAAGCTAAATTAGAATTGGAATTTGATTGTTCATGTGAGTGTTTTATTTAAAACAAATGTCATCTTTATACTGTAGTACCACCATTTGACAGACTGTCTATTTTGCGAAGCAAAATTTTCTCTTTATAGAAAGAAGGGGATACACCCCAAGCTGGAAAGAAAATGAAATTGGCCAAGGTAAATGATCATTTTGATTTGCTCGTTAGGTCTGATTTGTTTTATAGAACTGTGTTGATGTGTATATAGTCTTTGTGGTATTTATTAGTGAAACCAAATGCATAAATATAGGCAGAAATAATATTCACCTAAAGGTATCTCATTCATTGACATATTTATAAATTTCCTGTTTATCAGTTGATCATATTTAGAAACTATAACCATGTAAAATGGTGTAAATAAGGTTGATACATGTAATGCTGAAACTGCTTGGATTGTAATCCTTGTCACTTAATAAATATTTATTAGAAATAATTATAGGCACATTGTCCAGATTCTACACATTTCAAAACTGTAACCTTTCTCACTGTATAAAACATTTATTTTTATCACTATCTTGATTTAGCATTTGTGCTATTTTTTAAATGCCTGCCTTGTGTTTATCTACTTTTGATTACCAGACTTTATTGGCATCTTGCATCTGAGGTAAGAAATATCTCTTATTATTGGTCATATGATATGGGATTTGATAAAAATGCACCATCACAAATTCCACTGACAGAAATTTGACAATGAAATTTTAGTTATTGTTTTTGAAAACAATAAAAACCATGGATCTTTAATATTTTGACCATATTATTATATATTAGAAGGGTCAAAATATAATGACCACTTAGTGTGTGCATGCAAAGTATAGGTTGTTTGAACTAGGAATGACCAGTATGACAAAAGAACTGATGAGCAGTATGGACCTTGTAAATGTACCACTAGTGAGGGTTCTAAACAACAAAGTCAGGCTACCAGTCAATGCATATACTGTACAGACCATAAACCAGATAAATCTGCCATGAGTGAATTAAGCCTTTGACTTTTGTCTTTAGATGAATGCAATATTTTAACTAAAGCATAAAGAAAATGCATGTACAATAACTGGATTGTTGAATTTTATACTTGAAAACTGGTAATCTTGCACAATCCACTTGCAATCCATTACAGGAGGCCATATTTTCTGAGTCCACCTTTTGTTTGCAGAAGGGGAGGGTTGATCATCACTGTGGTAGTTTTTGAAGATGGTTAATTTAACTAAAGTATGATAATTGGGGCATGAGTTAACAAGTAATAGCAGAAAGGGTTTGGGCTAAGACTGGTGGTTTGTAATGTGACTACACTGTCCAGGGTTTGGCAACTATTTTACATAACATGCCACTTGTTTCTACTGCTCCGGTGGCTTAGTGGTTAGAGCATCTGTCTTGGATGGATGAGGTTGTGGGTTTGATCCCCAGTAGTCAGACCAAAGACTTACAAATGGCACTAACAGCTGCCCCACTTGATACTCTCATTAGGTTAGTGTTAGGACTGGTTGGCCTCTTTTGTCAGGAAAATATGACTGGGTGAGACATCATGCTACATGTTTGTGGCATGATGCCCCAGTGCTAGACATCACTATAAACTGCCGCTGCAGAAATCATAGCAATATGACCAAAAATTTGTTAAAACTGTTAAAAATCATAATCACATAATTACCACTTTTTCTGGATTGTAATTAATCACATCCCTAGTTGTGAGGCTAGAGGGTATGGGTGGGATGATTATTTTGACCATATCTCTAGTTGTGGGGCTAGAGGGTATGGGTGGGATGATTATTTTGACCATATCTCTAGTTGTGGGGCTAGAGGGTATGGGTGGGATGATTATTTTGACCATATCTCTAGTTGTGGGGCTAGAGGGTATGGGTGGGATGATTATTTTGACCATATCTCTAGTTGTGAGGCTAGAGGGTATGGGTGGGATGATTACACAGTCCATGTGTGAGAAATTGTTTGCTTTGTGCTGAAGTTAAAAAATGGGGAAATTTTGGGTTCCTTAATATGCACAAAACTCCTGAAAAGGCTTAGTGAACATTATCATTGGTTTTGATTTGCAAGGTTTTGTAGTTTTCATGTATATTTTTGGGTACTGATGCAATAATAAAGTTCTCATAAAGGAATGCTAATTTAAGCATTTATTACAGATCCTTAACTTCCAGGATTTAAGCTTAGAAAGCCTTCAAATTTTACTGAAAGCTAATGAACCCAGAAGATGTGTGAACCTTTCTAGAAAGGTACCATTCCCAAGATTTTGCTTTTTAAATGATAGACTTAGTTGTTGGGTAAATTTGATTTTGATTGCTTTATATTGGGCAAATTTGATTGAAGTATGAACTGCTGTGCATTTCTACATTAAAATCTTCATGACATTCAGACAAATAAATGTATTTAAAATGTGGACTGAGTAGTTTGTGCATCTAATCAAGCCTTGAGATTTTATTACAATTGAAAAATATGTAATCTTGGTGACACATTAGTTGAAAGGGTCATAAGATCTTGTAATTTATCAGTCTTGATTGTTTAATACCATATGTACCACCTTGCAAGTCAACTGCTAATACCATAGATCTTGATCTATCTCCTAATGCACCAGTAAATTGGGGTCTACTGTATGATTACTTAAAAACAAAATGCAAACACCAGGATCTGCCAGTGCATTTGACAACATCAGACCTGGGTCTGTATTTTTCAGTTAAGACTGAACTTGTATTTATGGTAAATTGACCTTGGTGAGTGTCCAGTTTAAATAAATAACATTTCACAATCAAATTTAAATGTAGTGTTTCTCAGTGTTTGGAGTTTGGTGCCTTTTTGGGCAAGTGGATAATCTAAGGCTGATGGTATGTGTAGCATAAGGTGTTATAGTAAGTAGATAATCTCCTTGAATATCTGATTGTAGGTGTTGTTGTTGGGGCAAGGGATTAAATTTTTCTTGAATGGCTGACTTTGTGTGTAGCATATGGTGTTGGAGCAAGTGGATAATCTTTCCTTGAATAGCTATTTGTATTGTATATTGTGTTGTATAGTGTGCTGTTAGGGCAAGTGAATTGTGTATAGCATGTGTTGTTTTTAGGGCAAGTGGATAGTCCTTCCTTGAATGGCTATTTGTATTGTATATTGTGTTGTATAGTGTGTTGTTAGGGCAAGTGAATTGTGTATAGCATGTGTTGTTTTTAGGGCAAGTGGATAGTCCTTCCTTGAATGGCTATTTGTATTGTATATTGTGTTGTATAGTGTGCTGTTAGGGCAAGTGAATTGTGTATAACATGTGCTGTTTTTAGGGCAAGTGGATAGTCCTTCCTTGAATGGCTATTTGTATTGTATATTGTGTTGTATAGTGTGCTGTTAGGGCAAGTGAATTGTGTATAGCATGTGCTGTTTTTAGGGCAAGTGGATAGTCCTTCCTTGAATGGCTATTGTAAGTGAGCAGTTGCAGGGCATGTTGATGGCCCTAATTTTGAATGGCTGATTGTGGAAGCAGCAGCCTAAGCTAGTGTATTCTTGATTCTGGTTGGCAAGGATACATTCCACATCTCAGCTGGCAAGTGGCAGACAGTTCTGCAATGTTCTCTAATAAATTTGGTAATTACCTACTTTAATTGCATGAATTATTTTATACTGTGTTGATAGACTTTATACTTTATATTTTATACTGTTTTTGCAGCTCAATGAAATGAATGAATGAATGAATGAATATTTGCTACCATCTGTCTGTAACAGTCATTTCACTTTCTCAGTCTTGTCCAGTATTTGAGAAATGTTCATTTGCAAAAATGACACAAATTACTGTTCATGTTCATTAACACTTGTAAAGTTTTTTATGCATATTTTTAATGGAAAATAATCAGGAATAATCAGAAAGATTGGTTTAAGAAGCAAACTTTTGGAGTGTACTGAACTTTTTATACCCCTGTGGGGATATGTAGTAAATCCTCACCTCAGTGTCTGTTCATGTCTGGCATAATCTTAGCACAGCTTGATTCCTAGTTTTTAATTGATTGCTATGAAACTTGACATAATTGTCTTGACAGGCAGATATTGGGTCATGACAGGTAGATATTGACAAATAATTTGCTCCTGAAAATTGTACAGGTAGTTGATTACCCTTTCCACCCCAGATTTTATTAGTTATTTATATTTGACATGTAGCTTAATGCAGTGCATGTCAGTCTAACTTGTAGCTTAATGCAATATATGACAGTGTAAAATGTGTAGCTTGATGCAGTGCATAACTGACCATGTTGTACTATGACTATCATGTAGCCTAATGCATTGAATGACAGTCTAATGTAGCCTAATGCATTGAATGACAGTCTAATGTAACCTAATGCATTATATGATAGTCTAATATAGCCTAATGCATGTATGATAGTCTAATATAGCCTAATGCATGTATGATGGTCTAATGTAGTCTAATGCATGTATGATGGTCTAATGTAGCTTAAATGCATGTATGATGGTCTAATGTAGCTTAAATGCATGTATGATGGTCTAATGTAGCTTAATGCATGTATGATGGTCTAATGTAGCCTTATGCATGTATGACAATCTAATGTAACCTTATGCATGTATGACAGTCTAATGTAGCCTAATGCATGTATGACAGTCTAATGTAGCCTAATGCATGTATGAGTCTAATGTAGCCTAATGCATTGTATGACAGTCTAATGTAGCCTAATGCATGTATGATGGTCTAATGTAGCCTAATGCATTGTAAGACAGTTTAATGTAGCCTAATGCATGTATGACAATCTAATGTAGCCTAATGCATGTATGATGGTCTAATATAGCCTAATGTATTATATGACAGTCTAATGTAGCCTAATGCATTGTATGACAGTCTAATGTAGCCTAATGCATGTATGATGGTGAATTGTAACCTAATGTATTGTATGGTCTAATGTAGCCTAATGTATGTATGACAGTCTAATGTAGCCTAATGCATGTATGAGTCTAATGTAGCCTAATGCATGTATGACATTATAATGTTGCCTAATGCATGTATGATGGTGAAATGTAACCTAATGTAGTGTATGGTCTAATGTAGCCTAATGTAGTATATGACAGTCTAATGTAGTCTAATGAATTTTGGTCTAATGTAGCCTAATGTAGTGTATGATGGTCTATCTTGTAACTTGATACAGTATGACAGCCTAACTTGTTGCTTATTAGTCTATGACAGTATAAATTGTAGCTAAATACACTGACAGTCAACTTGTAGCTGAATCCAGTGGGACAGTCTAACTTGTAGCTGAAGACAATGTGACAGTCTAACTTGTAGCTGAAGACAATGTGACAGTCTAACTTGTAGCTGAAGACAATGTGACAGTCTAACTTGTAGCTGAAGACAATGTGACAGTCTAACTTGTAGCTGAAGACAATGTGACAGTCTAACTTGTAGCTGAAGACAATGTGACAGTCTAACTTGTAGCTGAAGACAATATGACAGTCTAAGTTGTATCTGAATAGGGTGACAGTCTAAGTTGTATCTGAATAGGGTGACAGTCTAACTTGTAGCTGAAGACAATGTGACAGTCTAACTTGTAGCTGAAGACAATGTGACAGTCTAACTTGTAGCTGAAGACAATGTGACAGTCTAACTTGTATCTGAATAGTGTGACAGTCTAACTTGTATCTGAATAGTGTGACAGTCTAACTTGTATCTAAATATAGTGTAAGGCAGTGATTTGCAGCCTAATGCAGTTTTTGATGGCTTGTCATAAAATGTAATTATTAGGGTCAATGCCTGAAAAGGTGAATATCAAGTTTCTTTCCATCGCCCATGTTGCAAGACTTCTACTTGTGCCTGTAAGTAGTTTTGATGTTTCAGAGACTGATCATGAAACAATGAAAAGGTCATGTAAAAAAACTTATTGCCTTTATCTGTTGCAGCAACATGCAGCACAAGACTGAATTGAGTAATTGCAACTTGTCTTCTAGATTGTATTTGTTTTATTATAAAACTTGGTATATATATTTATAATCAAAAGATTCAAACATTGTCAAATTTTTGTATTCCTTTAAATATTTTAGACCATAAACTGGTTGCATTGTACAGTATAATAAAATTTTGTGAATAGTTGCATTTTTATTGGCTTGCCTCAAAACTTGTGATCTTCATTGAAAGATGTGCATATTGACTAAATAATGCCTGTACTAGTACTTTTAGAAGTTATACCTTTGTTTTGATATTGGCCCTGTCTCCATGTGTTAGAGGTGACATTGATAACATCCCTGTCTCCATCAGAGGGTAGAGTTGGTATTGATAATGGCCCTGTCTCCATGGGATAGAGGTGGTATTGATAATGGCCATGTATTCATGGGGTAGAGGTGATATTGTTAATGGCCCTGTCTCCATCATGAGGTAAAGGTGGTATTGATAATGGACCTGTCTCCATCAGGGGGTAGAGGTGGTATTGACAAAGGC